TCGCAAGAACCCTAGTATAGAAGAGTAGAGAGTAAATCCATTCTGTCGAGTTTAGTTAATTTAATAGGTCTTTCGTCTTCACCGATGAACAGTCTGATAAATTATCAAAGAAATAATGATGGACTCTTTACCGACACAGTATCTTCAAAACAGAAGAAGAAAAACAGAAGAATATTAAGATGTCAAGGTCCTTACAACTGAAAGGTAGACATAGTTACTTATTACTGATCTAACAAAAGAAATTTGGGTCTCTCGCTCTGTAACTTCTGTTACTTAAGGGATGTCAAATAGGGAGCAAGCCAGTTTTGTGCTGTCAAACTCCAACAACCAGTCTTCACAAACAATCAAACGATATAATCAGTATTCATATCAGTAGTACTTGATATATTTTCAATGATATTGGTGTACTGGTATATTTTCCATCAGATATATAAAGTTGGTTTTATTTTTAGCTTTTTATATCTTATTTATATACATCAGCTTATCTTTTCTTTTTCCCTTTTCGTTTCAACATTAAATATTTACTTATTCTTTATTCATTGTTTTCTTTTTCACTTTTCTATCTTAAATCTCCTACTTCCTTTTCTTTTTCTTTTTTATAAAGCCTCGTCTACATATCTTCTATTTGTTTCTCACTTATTCCTCTATTTATCCTTTATTTTTTTAAATTCAATTTTCAATTCTTTCTTACTCTTGCATCCCTCTAGCTGTTTTATTTCTTATATCTAAATATTATTTAATTTCTTTTCGTATATATCATTTATACTCACATTTATTGCGCATACGCTCCGCAATGGATTTCTTATCATCTTCATTTGGCAAGTCCACTAAGTTTCCAATGGAAGCACTTTTGAATCGTTGTAAAATACTCAGTTGTTGTGTTTGGCGGGTGTCGAGGTCATCTTTAATCTCTTGGGCACGTAAAATTTCACTTTCGGAAACAATCTAAAAACATATAAAGAATAATATTTAATATAAGCAAAAAATAAATTTTATAAATAAGTAATCTTTATATAAATTTAAAATTATATATTATTCAGTAGTTTAATAATATATCTATACTTATATGTAACACAAAATATAACTTTATATTATTACTATAATAAATAATAAAAAATAGTAATACTATAAAAATAGTATAAGTAATATAATACTTATACTATAAAATAGTTCATAGAGTACTTCGTCCATTCTACGGTCAATATAATAGCCATGTCAATAAGCAAAACCGACGTATAAGAAGCGAAGATAATCCTCAAGCCGTTAACAAACACCATTACACCCATTAAAATTGACTGTCCGGTGCGTTTTACATGTTGGCGATAATTTCGGTCCTTATTTCTTTCGATATGAGGACGGGAGCTAGAAGCTGCCGTTACGGTGAATGGCGTGCACCACGCTGACTGAATTTTTGTTTCCAAAATTTTTGTTTTTGTTTTGTTTCAGTTAAGCATTGGAAGCCAATGTTCAGGAAACCAATGCCATACGACCACATTTATTGCAAAAACGAATCAAAAATTGGTCTGATCGAACTCGTAACCTCGGCGAACATATGCCGGATCTCATATTCAAAAAATAAATCCCATGAAATTATCTTCCAGAGTATAATAAGAAAAAAAATCCTTTCAATAATATTTCTGTCTTGCATTATCGTTTTAAGTTCCCATTCAGCTAAAAAACACTTCCAATATATAGAAGAGTTATATCAAAAATGGAAGTTCTTCCCTCTATGAAAAGAATTGAAATGAAGTTAAGCTATATCTGCAAGCATCCAATATAATTCAATGGACATTATTGGCTACGGCACGATGTTTCTTATAGAAGCTAAAAGCATTAACTTTATACTTATTCACTTTAGCTTCATAATACTTATATTAAGAATTATATACACTTGGTTGGTTGAAGTGGCAGGTCATTAGATAACTTCCAGGTACATCAATTAACGATTTTTCGCCATTTTGCTACCACATTCCTCGCAAGAACCCTAGTATAGAAGAGCAGAGAGTAAATCCATTCCGCCAAATTTATGTAATTTAATAGGTCTTTCGTCTTCACCGATGAACAGTCTGATAAATTATCAAAGAAGTATCTTCCTAAGAACCTATATCTTCTGGACGCAAAAGCCGGGCATTCATAGAGAAAATGTATTATGATTTCTTTCTCCTGCGAGTTTCCACAACTTCTGCAGTGAGGAGGATTATGGGGAATGCGCAGTTTCTCTGCGTGAGTTCCAAATTAATTTCACATTACCAATGACCAGTAAGAACTGCTGTAAGCCTTGCAGTGTTCACTCGGTCTCTTTTGATGAGTTCCGAAGAGCTATTTTTATTATAGGTGTGCCATGTTAACCTGGAGGTTTTACATGACTTAAGTGCTTTCCATCTGTTATTGACAAGTTACAGAAAGTACGTATTTCTCTTACAATATACTGATTTAATAGGTATATACATTTTATTGCTTTCTAACACTACAACCCCGGGAATTGCAAAATGTGTAAGAAACATTTTATATTATATTCAAGTGCTGTTTTGGGTATTTATCACAATTTGTATATATCCAGTCAATGGTGAGTTGACCAGTTCGAAAAACACCTGGTAACTACACCATTTCGAATAGGTACTGAGATTTTAATATATATTTGTGCTATAAAAAATATTGACGTAGTTTTAAACATTTACGTAGTTTTATACGTTAAAATAATGAAATGAAAATTATTATCGGTTCAATAATTTTAAATGCAATTTTTAATGAAATATTAAAATTAATCATTTTTAATTTAAAAATCAAAATTAAAACAAAATTTAATTACTGAAAGAGCTGATAATATTTTTAAGGTTGGTAATTAAAAACACAACTTTTTCACTTTTAAATTTATGTTTCTCTAAATGTCAAAGTAAAACGATTGCCAAAAACAAAAAATTTTAAAATAAGATACGAATATACTAGAAATACTAACTTCGTAAAATGAAATACATTTAAAAAGCAATTAACAAATTAGCAAAAAAACTAAATACGAGTAGATAAAGTGAAAAAAGCGCAAAACTCATTGCAACTGTCAATCTAAAATTTCAAAATAAATTTATTTTGGATTATTTCAATTTTTTAACGAATATTTCATTTGCCACACGAAAGAAAACGTTCAAAATTTAATCTAACAGATACATTTGTATGAGTACAACAACAAATACATTCCGACTCTCAGTGCAAAAACAAACTGAAGCGAAATGTTTACTTATTTCAATAAATTTTTTTGTAAATTTTTGTTTTTGTTAGATAAATTTTATTTCTGCGAAATTTAATCGATTTAACCTTGTTTTCGAAATTTTATTATTTAAAATTGCAGCGTTCAAGAAATTAACAAAAATAAATAAAACATTAAAGTTTTCTAAGTACATTTTTTAGTGCTTCTTGAATGCATATTATTATATGAATATAAACAAAAAAATTATATCATAAAAAACTTATACTGCAGATACTCACAGCTTATTGTGTTGAAAAAAAAAATAAAATAAATAAAATAATTGTTCAATTCAACATTAATGTATCTAATGTATGAATGTATCTTTTTGGCTCGACTTGTAGTAAACAAAAACAAAAATAAAAAATAATACATAAAAGTTGAATAAACTTTTTTGCCCTCAACCATAAAATTTATGCTTATAAGATACACAATAAAATTGTTTATATTTTAATTTAATTTCATTTAATTTAAACATTTTTGTTTAGTTTTGTTGTTTTTAATTTATTAATTAACGTTTATTTATTGCCAAACGAGACTTGAGTCCAGCGAAGTCAAGTCATTTATCACCATTAAGGCCACTTTGGTTCGCCTTCTGCTAAATATTATTAAAAATGCATTAATTTACTATAAGCAAGCAAATCATCATTTGTCAAAATAATTTTATTTATCTTAATATTTCCATTAAAACGGGGATATTATTAAAAATGTTAATATATAATAGTTTATAAAAGTTTATTTGGTAAAGGGTTTTTCATTTTGTTGACGATACTAAAAGCAGCTAAAGGGAAAAAGACAAGTTTGTAAGCAGACCAAAAAATATCTTAATCGATTCTATATTCAAATTAAATCATTTTAAAATTAAATCTTTCACAGAAACTATAACATGACACAGACTATTATATCACTATGATACTATGAACTTTAATATAATAAACTCTATAATATACTGCTTTAAATGGAAGATGCACTAATAGATGTTTTCTAAAACCACTAATGATAGATAGATATTTGGTGGTAACCGGAGCAATGGTATGGTCGAATACCATACCACTGTATTAATAAATTTATTTAAAATTAAATTAAATTAAATTAAATTATAATATAATAATTAAACAGAAAAAGCAAAAATTTAAATTAATAAATTAAATTATATTAAATTAAATTAGTATCTAGTCAAGGTGCAAAGAGGGGTTTTGAAGAAACCTCGCAGTTAATAGAGAGTAAAAGTGCTCAGGTGCACTGACTCAACTAGTCTCAACATAATAATAGTATCTGGAGTATTTCCAAAAATGGAAAATAAAAATCAATAATTAAAAAACTAAGGCTCTGTTTATAACACGTAAGTGGAGACAGAATCCGTCAAGAGTGAAAGTGGGTGATATGGTGATAAACTAGGAGGATAGCGTTAAATATCTCGGCAACACGTTGGACAAACGATTCACATGACTTAAACATGTTCAACTGAAAAGAAGCGTCAAAATTCTCCATCACCTCCAACCGCTATTCAGAAATGAAAATCTCAATGCTAAGAACAGGAAACTGATATATAACCAAATAATCGTCCGTTACTTCTATATGGTTGTGTAGCGTTTAGCAAAGCTTCAAACACTACTATTCACCAGCTAGAAATTCCACAAAGTCAGGCTCTGCGAAGACTTTTTAAAGCACCATGGTACATTAGGACGAATGCCATCCTCAGAGACCTCAAGATTGATACCATCAAAAAATACATAAAGAGTAGAGCCCTGAAATTATTTCCGAAAACTGACAGACTTACCAACACCGCGTTATCAAATCTCAGAATGGTTACAGGTTCCTCGGGGAGATTTGCAGATCTGAGATCAATTATTGCTTAGTCTGATGAAGTGATAAACAATCAACCAGTCAAGACGTGAAGAGGGGTTTTAAAAATATCTCGAGTTAAGAAAGAGTAAAAGTGCTCAAGTGCACTGGCTCAAAAAGCTTTAGTATAATTAATTAATAAATTAAATTATATTAAATTAAATTAGATTAATTTAAATCAAAAAGGATTCAATAGCGATTTTGAGATGTGAATTTTGAGATTTTATAGTATTTGTATTTAAAAATATTTGTAATGCAATTTATTGCATTTTAACTTTGACTATTTAAAATGCATATTTCAGATAAGTCCAGCACTGACAGTATGCATAA